GGTTCATATGGAACGTCGAATGATTGACGACAGCGCGCAGGTAGGACTGTTGACCTCTTTCGGCGCTGACAAAGATCGCACGAGGTCACTAACGACGTACTGACCTATAGATTCCTGGCCAGTAGAACCAACGTGTGCACGATCATAGGTGCGCGAAACGCCGAGGTGCCCCGCCATCGGTACGTCGTGAAGCTGGGCCAGAACAGTCGAAAAAAGGTGTGGTGGAATCGCAAGCAAGAGATGAGGACCATCTGGTATCAGACTACGACATAGCAATACGCTGTCGCGTAGCACAAAGGGACGAAGGGATGAATCGGGCGCTGTAGATTTGAGGCGGTTGATAATGTTGCGAAGAGTCGGGTCACGTTGTTGCTTAGCAGAAATATTGAACAGGTCGGTTATAAGCACAGACGGAATGGTATTGTTCGCCGAAGTGTCTGGTGGGTCGACGGGAAAACAACACAGGCAGTCGGTGTCTTGATGCAAGCGGCCAGACTTGTAGACAAGAGTGCACGTGTACTCTTGAAGTCGTAGTGCCAAACGACCAGGTCGACCATCAGGATTCTTAAGTGAACACAGCCACCATAAGCCGTGGTGATCACTCACCACGGTGAAGGGTCTGCCGTAAAGATAGGGTCGAAATTTCCCGTCAGGCAAAACAAGACCAAGGCACTCTTTCTCGGTTATACAATAGTTCCGCTCAGCTAAGGAGAGGAGGCGGCTGGCGTAAGCAATGACGCGGTCATGACTACGTTGATTTTAGCCAAGGACAGCACCGATGCCATGACCACTGGCATCATTGCGTACTTCGGTCGGCGCAGAGTCGTAGAAATGGGCCAACACAGGGGGGGGGGGGACGTGAGTCGGTCGACGAGATGGGAAAAAGTCGATGGTTGGTCAGGTACCCAAGAAAAAGAGGCGTCTTTATTCAAAAGACATGTGAGGAGCTGCGCAATGACTGCGAAATCCAATGACACATAACAAAAATTTTCCAAATAAAAGAAGGAAACAGTAGAAATTCAGCAGGCTTCTTTCTAATGCTCTTGTCCACCTATGCCAGTAAAGCACACCGGAGGGCAAAACCGAATGTCATTAGGGCCTGTGTTTGGAACCCTTGAAATGGTCTATACTGGCGAAGACAATTTTCGTTTACATTTTATGGGACTCTGCGATCGAAGCGGCCCAACGCAACACAATGAAGATGGAGCGCGGCAAAGACAAGATAACAACTCAGTGAGCTATGTACATGCGTTTACGAACTAAAAAACAGTAGCTGATCAACTCTAACCTGTTCGCCTGATCGGATTTTCATGTGGTCCACAACAAGCTGAAGGCATGCAACCAAGATCTGCAGGTGCTCAAGTTAGAGCTGGAAGCACACACAACGATGAGCAAGTCGCAGAAGATTATGCCTTGTTAGCAGAATATGAGGACAACTTTGCTGCTGCGCTGTAGTAGCTGAATCACTACATACAGGAGCCCGAGACTTTGACGTCCGGGATCCCCGACAGTGCGGCAACCAACATCGAGAACGAACGCATCGCCATCGCAGGTGACCGTGTACCTGGCTATCATACGACACACAGTCTCGTCGGCTCTCGCGTCCTTAAACATGAGCTGCTTCCTTTCAAAGGAAGCCCATCGCAGTTGCAACCTTTTTCAGACATACTCAGGCATTTAGTTCACGAAAACGCCCCTCTGTCAAACATCGAACGGTTTCAATATTTGAAAAGCCTAGTGATATGACAGGTGTCAAAAGCTATCGACGGCATTCAAACCGCAGAGGAGTAATACGAAGACGCCGTCACCCTTCTAAAAAACCACTTTGGAAACGAAAAGAGTGTTGAATAATAATACCTTGCAAACCTGCGAATTCTCAAGCCAGTAAAGCCCTCCAGTGATGTGGCTTTGCAGCGCAACCTGTTAGACACCATGAACATCAACATCAGAGGCCTTGAGGTGTTCGGATACCCGAAGTTCTCCTGTGCTACCATACTCGTCAGGCTCCTCACGAAAGAGATTTCCAGAGTTGTCTGGGTAGACTGTTTCAAACAACAGAGTCACCAGATGATCGTCGAGGCGCTTGCAACATCGGAGATGGAAGTTCGGGAGCAACTAGATTACGGGTGCATGGAGATGGAGGCTTGACGTTAAAGTTGGAAAAGACCAGAATGATGTACATTCCCCTTGTCGTGGTGGGTTGTTTCCGTTCCACCGACTAGCACTTCAGCGAGTGCACGTCACGTGTTTATTCGACTAGGCATTCCCCTCCTCCTCTTCTGACGTCAACGTGGAAGTCTCCCTCGACTATAAAAGGCTCAAATCGACACGTCTCGCAGCAATCAGTCAGCGTGTCTTCCAGACAGCGCTTAACCTTTTTTTTCAGGAGATTAGGTGCGAATCACAGCACGAGGATTGTAACGTCACCGACGCGCACCGCAACGCACTACGAGCAGGAGCATCTTGAGAGGTTCTGGGTCATTCTTCTAATCAAATGAAAGTAAAAATGAGTTATTAAGATGGGTGTACGAAATATCTGTGCATAATAGTTGAACCTACACACCATTTTCTAAACGCGCTCGAGTGCCACTATCTTGGGTTAATAACGTTGCAGTTTAGTATTCGTATCAAATAAAGAAATATTGTTACGGTGAGCTCACGCGCACAGAATCACGTTGCTGGCACAATAAACGTTTTATAGCCATGATTATTGATATTGTGACGTATAAAATATACAAAACAAATGCTCATCAGTCTAAGATGGCAGCGGCTATTAGTCGAAAAAAATCGTGTATAGACTACGTGCCTAGAAGCTTGTTCAATACAGAAGATACATATCAGTTAGCCACGCACATGATCGGCCAAGAAAAGTATTGATTTTGCACATATTCAAGTTTCAACGATCTACAATCTACGTATGAGAGCTGATTAATACTCACTAGACCGAAAAGAGCGTTTGATAGCATTGTTGAAGTTATGCCTAGTTTCCATTTCTAGAGGAAAAATGTTGCAGGGTCAAGCTTCGAAGACGTGCAACAATTGCTCGCCATAAACATTGTTGCAGAAGGGAATATTTAAATTTTAGGCTGTCTCCGGATCAGCCGGCGCAGCGCGGCGCTTGCGGGTGCTTCGGCGGGGGGCGCACCGCGCTTTCGAGATACTGCCGACGACGGCGACATTAGGGTATTAGTTCACTATAGTTATAGGTTCGCCGGCGTTCGCCTTCCGCTGTCCCCGCTTCCACTCGGCTTCCTTGGCTCGCTTACCGTCGGTGTTGCCCACGCGCCGTCTCCATTTTCCAACGCTATCGGCGTGCTTCACTCGGACTTCGTCGGTGTCGCTGGTCTTCAACTGCCGACGCTTGCATTCGTGCTTCTGTGGTTAGCGCCTTGTCCGTGTTTCAGTTGCGACGTCGTCATTCCCGACCTCGATTGGCTCTGCTAACCTTTGCAAAGCCGGCGACAGCCGCTTTAGGCCAAACCGCTTCGGTGCATGTTTCAGCAGGCGAAGGAGCTTCGCTTTCCGGTGAATTCTTTATCGCAGATAACGAGCCAAAAGAGTGTTCACTCGACGTGCGCTCGAGCGTTGTGAGTGGTGGAGAGGGTGAAGCGAATGTCACCGCGCACTGGGAAGGAAGGTATGACCTACTTGGCACCGGCCCAACACCTAAGGTTAGGGGAGCGCACTGCGGAGTGTTGACGTGGAGATACAGAAGCACAGCATTTTTCAGGGTAGTTTAATACCGGCTGCGCATCTAATATATGCGGAAGCTTCCGCTCAATAATCGTGTCATAATGTTTGCCAATCGTGCCATATTGTTGTTCTATTTTCTAGAACGTTTGACATCCTCGCATTGTGCACAATGAATAAAAGTGGGGACAATACACGTCGCTGTGTGAGCCCACGTTAATATCAACGTGCTTCGCTTAAACCACTGAGATCTCATGGCAAAGGGAGCCACAGCGAACAGCAGTGAGGCACCATGTGCCGCACGTTCGGGGGCCACGCTGGACGAATAGATGGTGCCACAACGTTATCATGGTATTTCTACAGAGCGTACAAAGAGTCAAAGTACATGCGTGAGAGTGACAACGGCCCTCATAAGTGGTTTTCGCAGCCCTAAACAGGGTGATGATGATAATAATGATGATGAAACAAAAAGTACTAGTGTTTTGTTAGGGCTAGTTCAAATTCCAGTGATCAGTAATAACGTGGACTCACCATTCATCAAATACCAATAATAATGGCGCATAGCTGACACAAAGCATATGCTACGTTTATTTGTCTGAAATGCTCAATTGCTCATAATGTTGACCTTCGAGATGTTGTTACTAGAGCTTTCAAATATAGGGAGCCAAATATTTGAGAACCACAAATGGAGAAAGGAGGTGCTCCTGATAAAAGTTAATTGGAGGAAATGGCTATATTTCATCTCGAGTTTATTTTCATTTCAATTCAATTGCTGCCTTGAACGGTCATTGATCAAAAAGACTTGGTTTGGGTCTCAGCTCCGTCAGTAGCTTAGAGCTAAAGTGTAATTAGGCAGGGTTGTGTATGACCAATCCTCATCCCTGTTCCTAATGTAGGGTAGCGTGCCAGTCACTCTAGACTGGTTAACATCCCTGTCTTTCATTTCCCTCCATTTCCCTATTCCTGTTTCTGAGCGCACGAGGCGTCTCTGTTGGTGTAAGAGTGTCTACGGTGCTCAGCTTCTGACCAGAAGCACGCAGGTTGCATCCCGGCCAAAGCACTCACAGTTCGACGGGGGCGAAATGATATTCTGTTCTGTGCGACGTGGGTGCGCGTTAAAGAACAGCAGATCAAAATGGACGGGGTCTGTACTATGGCTTCTCTCAAGACCATTTCGTTCTTTTGGAACGTAAAACGCGACTTTTTGTTATAATAAAGTCACCATTACGGGCACAGCATGAACAAATATTGTGGTTTTTTTTTCTACATGCTACTATCAACGCAGGCGTCCTTACCGAAAAATAACTTACCGTGCGAAGTGAAATCCGTTCGTCGCAAGCAAGGGTAATGTTTTTCAAAGCACAACAGTCTTATGTCTATATGTGAAGAGAAATAGAAAGCAATTTATAACTAATGTTTCTAGGGCACGGACCAATCGATTCCTTTTTTTTTCATGACAACGCGTGAAATTATTGCTGGCGTCAGAAGCTTTGCCATAAAGCCGACAAAAGTCAAGAAAGAAAAGCGCCCTTGTTTTTTTTGTTGAGCTGTAGTTTAGTCTTTTTGATTGATGATTTGTGATGTTTAAAATCTCAAAACCATCATATGAGTGTGAGAGACCCGTAGTAGAGGCCTCAGGAAATGTCGACCACCTGGGGTTCTTGAACGTGCACCCATAACTGAGTATTTGCTATTTTTAAAATCATATACAATAGCAAACAATGATTATAAAACTGCTTAGCTGATACCCCCTGGGGTGCTCATAAGCCTCCAGATTTTTTGTTAGGCTCAACCTGAAAGCATTCAAACACCCCCGCACCCTTTTGAAACACTCGTATTCAAAGACTGAGACATTTATAACACTTGGTCAAATTGGCACTCTCAGTTCGGTGCTCGTGACAGTCACTCGTATGGAAACTCTCAACTTTCAAAACACAACAGGTGTTATTTGCTACTTTTTTCTTTATTTCTGAGAAAAAACGCCATGATTTTTAGGTCTTTTTCATTAGGTGCGTATATGATGGATTGCTTCTTCTTCACAAAATGTTGAAAAAAGCAATCACAAAAGTAATCGACAAATAAATATAAACATCTAAATGGTAATTAATGCATCACTCACCAGAAGTGGATGGTATCAATTGTTTTGTTTCTGCGGGCTAAATCGGTTTCGCGTGCACCTAGCACTTCCTGGTAGTTCAGCCACTGGTTTCCCACAACCAGTTTCAACTTCGCCTGATTTAGCAACGCTATGACTTTTGAGAGACCTTATCGCTAACAAGCGTGCGTGTGTGGTTGTGAAAATATACTTAGCTAATCAACTCAAAAGAACTGGGTGTGCTTGTGGTGCTACTGCAGTGGTATTTAAATTCTTTATTCAAAACCATTTTATCAAGTGGAATATCCCAATAAAGCATTATCTTTGCAGCCTCATAGTGTTGAACCGTAATAATTTTGTGAAAGTTATGCCCGCTATTTTCTAGAGCTCTTTGTTGGAGTATGACAGTATTTATTCAACAAAAAAATATTTCGACTTGTCCGCCGCAGGTATACGGAAGGGGAGAGCTTCACCTGCGTCATCTGGATGTTTGGACATGAAGGTCTATAGGGAAACGAAGTGGTTTCCGTCGTTGCCCGCGAGCACGTCAGCTAGGCTGCCCTGGGACGAAAGAATACGCGATCCGTGGCTGTAGAGATGGAGGTAGTAGAAAACACCTACCCGTCGCTGTTTGAACACTGCAAGCTCGAGCGACAGGTGTAGCCTCCACCCCATCCAAGGCTAACCCAAAAAGAGAGCGTGATTTTTAGACGCCTACAAAGCAACACTTACATATTAATGCATCGCCTCTTCCCAACGACGCATGGCTACACCTGCCCGCTTTGCAGCGTACCAGACACCCTGGCACACGTGCTCCTGGAATGCCAGTGCCACTCAAACCACGACTTGCATCTGGAGCGAGATCAAGCGCCAAGAATAAACGACGACCACCGAATGGAAACGTAAGAGGCCGAACTCATCCTCGAGGGCCTGGAAGACCAGCGACAACTCGTCGCCAGGGCCAAGAAGGCCATCGAAGCCAGAGGGTTCCTGGGCTAGGGAACCCTCCCACATTAGGTAGACAACGAGCCTCGTTCGGAACACTGTTTCTAAACAAGCGCTTATTTCTCCCTCTCTCTCTCTGTCCGCCGCCAGTATAATATGTGGAGGTGCTTCGTTCAGACAGCTTCCAGCAGCTTGGGTTTCGCTTCGGTTGGTATACCATGTATTCACTGCCACTAGTAGGTTTTGTAGAGTCGTGATCACGCGCGCATGGGTGCTCACGTGCGCCTCGAGAAACCTTGGCTGCTCCAAACTATCTTACACCCACAGTATAGTATAGTGAGGACAATCTTTAAAACCACATATGAGAGCCCGTCAGCATAAATATTTGATAACTACGATGTTTTACGTCCACCTGAGGCATTCTTATTGGTTGAAGGGTTGATTTTCCTTACGACCTATGGTAGTTCCCTCTCTCGCACGTGCGTGGCTGCCTAGCTTTGTGCACAATTTGATATGTGGGGTTTAACGTCCCAATTTGTACACAATTTCAAAGCTACTTTAGTCACGGCAGAGGTCTACACGTCGCGGGCGCGCGATGTGCTGATGCCGGCTGCAGGGCTTACCGTAACCCGTCTTGCGCCACCCTATGGTGCTGCGCGAGATGTGTTAGCTCTGCACACAATTTTGTTTTTTCCTTTTTTTTGGTGCACGTTAAAGAACCCCAGGTGGTCAAAATTTCCGGAGCCCTCCACTACGGCGTCTCTCATAATCATATGGTGATTTTGGGACGTTGAACCCCACAAATCAATCAATCAATCAATCAATCTTTCCTTTTATTCAATACTATGTGCGAAAAGGCAAATAATTATGCTTGGATGCAGTTTTCAAAACACCAACCTCTGCAGAGAGAGGTGGCTCACGGAAAGAGGTGATGCCAGAGCAGCTTGTCAAATTTATCGAACATGTGAAGTGTAAAGGCATTGTTCACGCCGCGGGTGTCCATCTATACGGAACCACCACCAGAATGGGCTCATAAAAAACAAGAAATTGATAAATATACACGAATGCACTTGTGTCTCACAAGAAAAATACGAGAAAATGCTTCATCACTTCACAGAAAAAATGAAGCAGATTTCTTTTGTATGTCATATCAGGAACGCTGTGTAGAACATTTGCAATTTTATTATCTCTATGACTCAGTAATCTCTTAGAGTATGTTGCGAATTGTCTGGCTCTTACTTGTTTCGGAATATATTGTGCTTTTTTGCTGTGTTGACCAGCTAGCCATGAAAATTTTACACGTTTCGAATTTTCATACATTTCGTAATGGTTTTGTTGCACAGCACTTTATATTTGTTTGAAAAAGCACTTCATTGCGCATAATTTCCTCTGCTGCCATGCTTGTGTAGCTACTTTGCTAATTGTCAAATAAATTTCTGCGACAAATATGCAAAGTAGATATTTTCTCGGGGTAATGAAGCAGGCGATAAGCAATGTTATAGATTAGCAACTCCAAAACCTGAATGCTTTGGTTACCAAAAACATAGTATTAAAGTCGTTACAGAGTAATACATCCGTCTGAACACTCACCCTTGAACGCCCTCTATGATTTGAACACTCTTTCTCATAAGTGTTAAATAAAGTGAAGAAAAAGACCAAGAGGGTTACGCGAACAAATAGAGAAGCTCATCATGATGATGAGAGAGTATGTTCACTTGGCACCCTGAAGCATTGCAGTGCTTCAATATTAGCAAAGCTTCTTATAGCAGATTGGGAATAGCACGGCTAATAGAATATAACTGGCTTCTTTCATAATGCAGTGTAGGTGTCAGCATGACATGGCTACTGGGAATGGGAATCATCTGCAAAGAGAAGCCAAAATCTTGAAATGGGTACAATTTGTGCAGGCAATGGAACGCGCCAACCTGCCACACACATGCATACTGTGTACTGATCCATATAGCTTCCATAGTATCTTTTCGTTGTTGAGAATGAAACCTCATTTGTTTAGCGTATTTCAAAGTTTTCTCAGCCACAATAAACTAGCTTGCTCACGAACGGGGAGGGTGTGAATATTTTCGTTCAAGTGACGCGTAATTTCTACGAGTCATGCTAGTGACGTGTCCTCAGCCAACGCCAATAGGCTATATGCGAAATTAACAGTGCCATCTAGTAAACGCAGCAGGTACCATATCCGCCATTTTGATGCTGGCGAAGCTTGACCACTACGCGCGGGCGACCCACATGCGAACGTACGCGTTTCGACGCTTCGACTGTTGCAGTCAGATTTTTTTTGCTTGCGAAGTGCCAGTACACTGCTGTGTCTCACTGTGTATGCAGCGTGAAGTCACAGACACCATGGGAGCAAGGTATGTGGCATGAATTACAATTTTGCAGCAATGATTTGAACGCAAAACAGGGTATGGCGTGCAGAAGCTTTCTGGGCACATAGAATACATGAATCTCCGCGGTGCGCGGGCTGCACAAAACCAATGCAGGACTAATCATTTTTCTGTGTTACGTAGACAGGCCATGTTTTTATAGGTTTGTCAGCTCTGCGGCTAGGTGTTTTCACTACGTCGGCCCTCTATACGACAGTGGTGCTTCTTGATTTGCCGTGTAGGACTCGCCGCGGACACGCTGAGAAGCTGTGCGGCATTTCAATTTTCCTGTGACTTCGGGGAAGCCTCGGACTACCCGCAGACTATCCGCGGTGAGTCTGAGATGGTAAACCGAAGAGCCCTGGTGATTCTCTGCAGTCAAATAGAAAGTCCGCCAGTGCTGTGGGGGTAACTAGTGTGACAGAAGCGAACTGTTAGGAGAGGAAGTGGACAGGCAGACGACGTAGAAATGTTATTTTTGAAGGAGATTGCGTACAGAGCTGTGCAGAGCTTCCGCTACTCCGAGTAACATGCCATACACGCATCCTAGCAAGACAGCTCGGTTGCTTGTCCGCGTTCAAGCTCCGTTGTGTCCGGTGACCACGCAGCAATAAAACAGTCATTCGAAAGATAAGGGCTATGCCCAGTTTCAAACTATAGAAGAGTACTTGCTCAGGCCCTTAACTTCACTTCCCCCAACGTGCGCAAATGCAACTTTTTCATTGGGGCCTCACTCAACAATTTTCTTTTACCAACAAAATAAAATCAAAAAGATAGCGGGGCACACCGTCGTAGGTTTGGAAAACTGGCACCATGAGTATTGCCAGGGCTTTACTGAATGACGTTCTGCATGAGTTCAGAACGCGGCAGTCCCGTTTATTCGTGAGACGGGATTCATTCTCGGCATTTTAGTCTCTATGGTTCAGTTGCGTCGCAACTCACCTCTCATG